CTGGGTGTGAGTGCTGCACGCCAGGCCCGGGTGTGCCAGGAGATTCCCCACATCACTTGGCACCCGCCTGGGAGACACCTGGGTCCCAGGCCGGACTGCACTGACCCCCAGCTGCCCGGTCCCTGCACGGGTCGCCCCTTTCCTCCGCCTCCGTCCCCCGCAGCCCCGCGGCGCCCCAGCCAGCCTTACTCTTGGGGTCCCCGCCGCCTCCCGTCCCCTGCAGCCACTCAGCCACAGTCCAGCCTCGCCCCACCCACTGCCCTGTGGTGGGGTGCTGACCGCAGGCCGAGAGACGGCCCGGACCTTGGGCGCAGATGCCCGGCGTGCCCCATGGAACGAGGGAGCCGGGCGGTGAGGCCTGCCCCTGCCGCGTGGGCCCGGGGTCACCCTTGATCGCCGGCCACTCTGACTTGCCATCGATGGTGTTGGGGTGACCCCGGCAGGTGGGGTTTGGTGAGGGGCCCGGATCAGTGGTGCCTGCTGGTCAGGCCGGGGTCCAGCCTCCTCCACAGACTAGGTGGCCAACAGCTGCAGGTAGGGGGCCCCTGGGGAAGGAAGGATGGCCTGTGCCCTCAGGGAGGTCGGGGCTGTGAAGCCAGGGCCTTGTGAGGCTCCTCACCCCCCCAAACCACCCTCCCTGCCCGCGGCTGGGGGTGGGACTCAGGCCTGGCTGCCCGCCTGTGGCCCCACCTCAGTGGCGAGCGCCCGTGGCCTGCTGCTGGCGGCCATCTGTGCCAGGCCCCGAGCAGGTGGCTCCTCTGTGGGGTGGAGGGACCCGCAGGGGAGGCCAGCCTGGCGAGGCTCTGGAGCGTCCTGACCAGACAGGTGTCCGGCCGGCTGGGCGCGGGCACTCGCCTGCCTCCCGCTGCCCCAAGGCCTGTCCCGGAACCCCTGGGGGCAGGGGCCTGTGGGGGCCTGGGCAGGGCCTGAGGCCCCTCTCCAGAGGCCCCGGCGGAGGCCCGTCCAGGTGGGGCGGGAGAGCCCCCAGCAGCTCCTGCTTGGGCCCTGGGGTCAGGCATGGGAGTGGGGGTCCCCGTCGGCCCGTCATGCGAGGGTGGGGGTGTCCCTCCCCTTTTCCCTCCACGGCCCTGCGGAGGCCGGGCTGGGCCAGGACCCTGAGGTCAGGCACCCCTGCCCCTCCACCCCACCCCAACTCCACCCCCGCGCCCAGAGCCCTGAGCTGCAGGAGGCCCCGGCCCGAGTGGCAGGGCGGGTGCAGCTGGCGGGGTTCTCCCTGCCCCTTGGGTGGACAGCCACAGCGGAGGGTCTGGGGGCCACCTGGGCTCCTCAGGCAGCTGCCCGGCAGGCCCGTCCTGTGGCCCAGCAGGACGGGGCACTGGCCAGACTGGCCCTGAGCCCACCCTGCAGGGCTCTGGTGTGGTCCTGGGGTGTCCGAGCCAGTGGGACCCCCGACCCGGCACCCAGTGGCAGGTACTGCCAGTCGGTGCGCCCGATGGGGGGAGGGGGGCCGGAGCCGGCCAGGCCTCCACCCTTCCGCCGGGCTCTGGCCTGGGGCTGCAGGAACAGGCAGAGGACTGGGGGCTGAAGCCCACTGCCCGGTGTCCGCGGTGGGGGCTGGACCTGGTGGACGCAGCCTTCATCCCCACTTCACGTTTCCAAGAAGAGAGCCCCCAGAAAGGGCTGCTGTGGTTTGTGGAAAGGGCAGGGCGGGCGGGTGGGCCCCGACACCTGAGGCCTCCCTGCACCCCACAATGGGGGTGGGGTGCTGGGCGCAGATGAACCTGGTGGACACGTCTCAGGCCGGGCCTGGGACTGCCCAGCCCGGGAGGTGGCCAGGGCCGTGTCCCTGGGCCCCCATCTCTGGCGCAGGGCAGGAGGCGCCCGGGGAAGCAGCGTCCGGGCATTCTCCCCTGGCCGGAAGCAGCCCGGGGCGTGAGGGGGGCGGTGGAAGCCCCGGGAGAGAGCTGACAGGGTGGCGGGGTGTGGGTGTGGGGCAGAAGGGGCGTCCTCGGGGTGGGGGGTGCCCAGTCAGTGAGGGGCACATCGTGGCCGCTTCTGGAGTAACCCAAATGCCTCCGCCGCCTCCCCCAGTCTCCACTACGCCCAGGGATTCCTGGTCCAGAGTCCAGACGAGTGGGGGAGCCGCACCCCGCGGGGCGGAGGCTGGGCGCTGCCGGAGGCCACGCAGCTCCCCGCTACTAGCGGATGGCGGCGCTGGGCGGCTCCAGGCGGGGCCTCCGAGACCCGCGGGTGGGGGGCCGGCGGGCGATCCCCGCCTCCCGTGGGCAGGGCCTAGCACCCCACTTCCTTCCATCTGAGGTCTGGGATCCCCCAGGCCAGGAGGGGGGAGGGCGGGGGTCTCGGCCCCCACCCCGAGGACCGCAGCTTCCGAGACGCCGACGGGGAGGACTCTGCGGCCGCGTCCCGGCTCCAGGGCCCGGCCCGATGGACCCCCCGGGGACGCCCCGCGTCACTTCCCCTCCCCCCCGCA